ATCTCTATTCTTCCTTAATCTGGATGCTTCTCTGAAACTTGTGCACCATGGGTGACCCTGTGTGTATGTGAAATATCAGTAACATAGCCTCCAGCATCACAGCAACATATGAGCCATCACAGTATGATAAACTTATAGACTAGTTTCTTCCTGGGCATGATTCTGACTTAAAGGCATCCAGTTATAAACTCACAGATGCTAGAAGTACACCACTGATGCCTCAGTCAAGTAATTATATATATAAAATTACCATTACTATACTATCCACACAGTAATTTTATAGTGATTTATTCTTATGATTTGTATTTTAATTTATTTCCTCCACAAGGTAGGCTCCTTGTCTATCACAGTATCCCGTACTATGTGAGCAATGACTGTTAGTTGAATAAATGCATAACTGGATGGATAAGTAAAGAAAGAAATCAATTCCCATTGCACAATTAGATGAATAATTTTGATAATTATGGAATCAAAGTGGAACAATAGCAAATATATTAGAATAAGATCCCATTGTTCCCACCATTCCGTTGATCTATGGTTGATTTTCAAGAGAATTTGCCCTTATTTTATTATCCTGCCACATAAAATGCCAATGAATACATTACCCAAGACTCTTTTTATTAGAATCTCAATTGTAAGACTTCACACTTTATTGATTAAAGTGACCACACAATCTCCTTTGATATTTGCCGAAAACTCTTTAGGGGCTTGGCATTACTAATGATTCGTTCTGTGAATTTTAGAGGCAAATTAACCAGAAAAATTAATAAAGGGAATTAAGTTTGTAAATTGGCAGACTTTCATCAATACCCACACCTATTATGTTGGTAAATATTGGACAGAGTCCCTGTATTTTAATCTTTAATTTAACTAACCATCCCTTTGTTTCCACATCACTAGGATATCAGTGACAGTCAAAGACTAATCTTGAAAAGAACTTCTGTTCTCTAGTACATCACAAAGATAAGAAATTCCATTAATTACGTGTGAATTTCTCATCCCCTTTATGCAGAAGTTATATGTATCGTTGGGTGTGAAAATCTGTTGTTGTGTTGGAAAGGATGTTGAAAGATCTAGCTACAGGCTGTCAGTGGTTTCGCAAAGTTAATTTTAGAAGAACAGATATGTAGTTCCATTTTCTCTCCAAACAAAGAATGATTTGATCAAACATCTTTATTTATGTCTGAAAAATAAGGCATTAGTCATATTTAGTAACATAATAAATTTCCAGAAAAGCATGGAAGTGAGAATGAATGACCTCTGTGATTCCCTTCAAACATTTCCATTTTCTCTCTTGACCTATATTCTTTAAAATATCTGTTTATGTATTTCACAGTTATATGTCAACATCTTATCTGATTTTCCAGATGCCATTCCACTAAATTTCTACCTATTATTACTGCTTAAATTATAAATGTATGGAGAAAATGGTTTCTTTTGAATATATCTTGGAAACATAATAGTGAACCCTGAAATATTTATTGCTTGTGATAACATAATGATTTGGGTGTGTATGTATATTTGCTGTCAAGTCAGTTCTAACTCTTAGTGACTCTTTATAGGGTTTTCTAGAGCAAATGGTGGGTTTGAACTGCTGACTTTGTAGTTACCAGATGAGTGTTTATCCTACCAGAGCTCATACACACACACACACACACACACACACACACACATACACATTATCTATATTTGTATATGAATATGAACGATTTGGTTATGCATATAGCTCTCAAACGGGATTAGACCCAGAATATCAAACAACGTTATGATGTAAATGTTGTCTTTGTGTGCATGAATAATTTCCTTTAGAAGAATCAGCATGAAGTTGGTCCCTATGAGATGAAGATTAAAGATTCCCCAAATGAGGCACGTTTTCAAGGTGTTGCATGTGATCCTTGATACCAGTTACCACTCTTTCCCTCAATATTCTCCCTCCCAGCTTATGGTTCCACAATTCACTACAGTGTCTCACAGAACCCATGAATTTCAAGAAAATAGCTCAAGTGTTTATAGAGGCTGGGAAGTCCAAAGTTTGTAGTTCAGACTCATTCTAGATGATTCTCTCCCTGCACATGGTTGTGGAGACTGAGGAAGTGAAATCAGGATGTCAGACGCTAGGCTGTTGACTTGCAAGGCTGTAGAAGTTGGTGAGTCAGGTCAAATCTAGTGCTGTAAGTCCCAAAAACTGGAGGTCAGATGGAAATGAGCCAGATGCAGGATCCAGAGCATGAGAGTGAACTTTGCCAAAGCATTCCCATATATCGGACACAGACCATGTCCCCAAGGAAACTAAGAGTGCTAAGGCACATCCTCTAGTAAAGTGGAAACTCAACATATAGATGACCATAATCCAGCCTCACAACTCATTCAAAAATGGGACCATAACCATAAGTATATAGGCTAACTGGGATTTGCAGTGCATGATAAAACGGAGGACTATAGCTAGAAGGGCCATATTAAGTAATTACATGCACTGCATTGTACATAAACTGATGTACATTCTGTTTTACTGCATGTATTATTTTTATTTATTGTTGTTGTTGTTAAATGTTCTCAAGTCAGTTACAACTCATAGTGACACTGTATAGAGTTTCCCGGGCTGTAAATCTTTGTTCCCACAGAGCACCTAGTGGGCTTGAACCACTGTTTGTGGTTCAAAGGCCAGTGCTTATCCTCCATCATGCTCCCATTTAATCATGACTGTTACATTGACAAGTCATGTCATGGTATGCTATCCTGGGGTTATTTATATGCTTGAGTAAATAATGTACCAAATTGTAGACAAAACTGATATATCCAGAAAAAGATATTTCCATAAAATTTTAAAAGAAATTTTATTACTTCTTGAAATGAAGAATCAGTTGTAGAACCAGTTGTTTTTTATATTCATATCCCAATAGAATTTTAAGATTTGACTAACCTTACAAATTATCTATCATTTTACTTCTGTGCTCAGTTCACATTGGTGTTGTTGTTAAGTGCCATCAAGTCAGGTTCTGACCCATAGCAACTCTGTATAGGGATTCCAAGGAGCAGCTGGTGTTCTTGAACCACAAGCCTATGGATTCAAGTGGATTTTACAGGCCAGTGCATTAACCAACAGTGCCACACCAGGACTCCCCATTCACATTACAATTCCTTTATCCAAGCATTAGTGAATTCTCCCACATAGTCCGTCTTTTCTTCTTCTGTAAAGTAATTTAACTCTTCAAAGAAAGATGCATTCCAAATAACTAAAGCATATGAATAGAACATGGATGATATACAGAGCTTTTAGTCCAGGATTTCTATGAACTGGTCTGATCAAATTCCATCAAATGTAAAGAATTTTGTGTATATGAGATAATAGGATTGAACTTAGTAGGGCACTTTCGAATAATACCATCTCTGAAAATACCAACTTTATTTTAGTCTGCTAATAATTGATTATGGGGAAAAACCCTTGTGTTCATAAGATAAAATTTCAGATAAAAATATTTACTTTCAGGTTTCAGCTAGTCAAATATATCTGTTTTCAATTTGTTTGGGTTTTTTAAGTTTTTTCTCCAATCCCCCCACCCCCATGTTTATTTCCCTAATGCAAACTTACTTACTTTCAGACAGAGAAAGGACTATCAAAAATATGGGAAGGAAGTGATCAGAACTCCATAGATCATTGGCAAAAGGCTGTAATCCTGCTAGGAAAGTTAAGGAATTTTGAAGTCATATTTCAAGGAATCAGAACAAGAGATCTGGGAGGAGGAGCTGCTATTGATGACATTGAATTTGAAAACTGCATGACTGGTAAGTTTCTAGAAAACACTTCCATTTGGAAGCCTGTTTATACTCTGTGCATCTTATCTCTGTTACACGTTTTTAAAACTTTTCACCATTCTGTTTTGTATTTACACAAACATCAAAAGATATTGTCACAATTTTCAAACTTAATCGCATATCATTTTTAGAAGTAACATATTTTGCATTTGAGTTATGTTACGGGAGAAGAATATTGAAAGTACCACAGACTGCCAGAAGAACAAAGTTGTGTTTGAAGAATAGCCAGAATGTTCCTTAGAAGCCATGATGGCATGTTATCAAGAGGGACTAATCCCTGGGAGAAGGACATCATGCTTGGTAAAGAGGATGGTCAGTAAAAAAGTGAAAAGACATTTAGTGAGAGGGACTGACACAGTGACAGCCACAATGGGTCAAGCATAACAATTGTGAGCAAGGCGCAGGACCTGGCATGGCTTTGTTGTGATATGCATGGGGTGCTGTGAGTCTGAGACAACTGTACAGCACCTAACAACCACATCATATTTTTCATTATTTAATTGCACAAGTAACTCTTCTCTTTCTTCCATAATCTCTTCTTTCTAACACATAATATTCTGTTGTCCTTTTGATGGATTTTTCAACACAGTTTAAAGTATAACCCTAACATTTACATACATTTATGTAATTAAAAATAATTTGAAATTAAGCCATTACAAAGGAGCTAGAAAGCTGACAGTTAGTACATTTATTACAAATGAATTCCATCTGGTATTATTCAAACAGACCTTGAATTGAGAGCTATGCTTATTATTCTTTATTTTGTTAAGTGCTTTCAAGTCATTTCTGACCAATAGTGACCCCATACAAGGTTTTCATGGAGCAGCAGGTGGGTTTGAATGACCAACCTTTTGCTTTGCAGTCCAGTGCTTGCCCTACAGGGTCATAGCAATATTCCAGAGCTATGCTTAGGGGATTTAAAATGCTACTGTAGCAAATGAACCCACCCTACTGCTATCAAGTTTGTACCAACTCATGAAGGCAATGAAAGGCA